GGGGGGGGGGCGGATAAAGATAAGATAAAGATATGAATTACTGCCAGAACATTTCATTGTTTTACCTTTAGTATATTTTTTTTTTAACAAGTGCTAATATCGGGCCAATTAAATCATCCGGCCAATTAATCGGTCAGGCCCTAGTTGTAATATCCAAAAGAGTCCCGAGGCGCAGGTGTACCGCAGATGACGCCAAGGCACGGCTGGAAGCCGTTGTTGGAGCCCTGCAGCCTCAGCTGGTGGTCCATCTGCGAGTCGATGTCCTGCAGCGACGGCAGGGCCGGACCCCGAGGGTGACTGTGGTACCAGCCCACCAAGGACAAGCCGCGCATGAACAAGTTCTGGCAGATCTGGACATGTCATGGTAAAAAAAAAGAAATAATAATAATTATGTGACTTTTTTTTTGACAATTCTGTGTGTGTAGTTTTGTGCGTTACCTCCTCCTCAACAACGGAGGCAGCATCTCTGTCCGCCAGTCTCGTTCGACAAGGAAACGCCCGTAAGACGGTCAGCACTAAAAACAACACAAAAAGATTTGAAGGATGCACCATTATCATGATTCTTTTTTTTTTTTTAACTTCTCGGGTCAAACTTACATTGTGTGTTGGTGTCCCACCGTCCTCCCAGGTATCCCACCACCTCACTTGTGGTCAAGTGGCAGTGGAAGTCCTCAGGAGGAAATGCAAACAGTGCGTGTGAGTGACGGCGTTTGTGTGCGATTGTTTGAGCCCACCTCGAGTGTGCCCCCCCCCAACCCTCCAAACGTTTTTAGTGTGCCTGTTTGCGCGTTACCATGAGCAGCAGCACGTTACTGGACACGGCCACGTTGAACGGCTGGAACCTGTTAATGGCCGAAAAGGCTGACAGCTCCACCAGCGTGTGAGGGTCTCTGAGGATGCAAGGTCACCTCGTTAGTGCTCCCCGGAGGACTCGCTAAACTTTGACCAAGGATGACTTTTAAAGACCTGGAAGCGTCCCTGGTGCCCAGATTGCAATATCTGACTGGGATTCTTTCCCGGTCCGTTCTCCTCGGAGCCAGAGCATCTGTAACAAAAGTTTTTTCAAAAAAATCCAAATTATTTGGCCTACTTACAGTCTGTTATACGGCAGTATTCAGTCATGTCTGGCATCTAGTGGTGAATGGTGGTACTACAACATAAAACGACAGCCTGCATCTTGGCAGTTTGGTACCCGTGAATTTGCATTTGACTGATTTTGATGCAAAGCTAAAGGCCGAGACTTTATTGCATGTTTATGCGGACACAAATTTAAGTATTTTTTTTATTTCCACCCTCTTCCTTAAAAACTAACTAATAAGTCAAGTTACAGAACTTCCCGCCAGCCGTCCCTGAAATAGGAAACCGTTTGCTGAGGAGCAGAAGGGAGATTTACAGAGGTGGGGGCGGAATACCGTGTAATCCTCCAGGTTTGTTGTTTCTGTTCTTCTCTTCTGCTTGTATGGCTGATTTCCCTTCCTCTTCATCCTCGTCATCATCTTCCTCGCTCACCAGGCTCTGACGTCGGCAAAACAAATAATGAGATCGTCGTGACCTACACTGAAAGACAGCTTGCGATTTAGATAACACGTTTCCTCACCATGTCTGCGCTGGGCTGGTACTTGTGCAGCCAGGTGGTCTTGTATTGGGCCAGTTTCTGCCCGCGGTAGCGCACCGACGCCCAGCCGCAGCCGGACTTCTTGGCCGGGTTGACCAGACGCTTGCAGTGGGTGGCCCAGGCGCTCGGCGAGTTGAAGATCTGACCCGTCTCCACCCAGCGGATTTTGCCGTCATTCAGCAGGTCGCCGATGAAATTCTTACCCTAATGTAAGGAAGCGTCGGACACGGTAACAAACACGATCACGGCGATGAAGCCATTTTTAGCAGTTAAAAAGACTTCAGGCCCACTGTGACGTGCTATTTTCTTACCAGGTAGTGAATGGCCAGCACGCCATCGCCAGGTTCCACCAGGCCGTCCTTGAGGAGCACCCGCAGCGTGATGCCTCGCCGCGTGAGTAGCGAGCCTCGGCCAGAGCTGGAGCGCAGGTCGGCCTCCTCGCCGCCGCTCAGCTCCTCCTCGTCATCCTCGCCAGCATCTTCCACCACCTGAGGCGAGCCGGGCACCTCTGGGAAGAACACACACACAGTAAATAATGTTACCATCTCACCTTTTACCAGTGGTGGGCATAGAACTATCCAACTATTATAAACTATATTAGCAATGGGACCATTTCTATAACCAAGCAGATTTCGAATCCGTTCTAACAGGGCCGATGTCAGCATTTTTCCATCCTGTGATTGGATGGTCAGAGCAAAACATGTTACAGCCAACTTCAGCTAGCAAAAGACAACAAGCAGCAGGTTGGTAAAAACTGACCGATTCCAAATAGAGGTTTCAAGCTCTTGCCATTCCCAGTTGAAATTTACTGTCAAAGTAAACAGTGAACAGTTACACCCTGCATATGCAATGCAAAATGTTATAAACAGCCTATAAATAGCATCTATGACGGTATTATAATACTTCGAAGCAGTTGAATCACACAATATAACATGAGTCACCGGGGAAATAGTCTTTATCCTCTTTGTGAAAAATGATTGCAGTTTACCGAGTCACTTCGTTGTAAAACTCGTCTTTGTTTGCGTCTGTATGATATTATATTGCCTCCGGTGGCCGAGGCGCGCACACCAGAGGGAGTATAAAGACTGGAGCGGATAAATGGCATTTCCATTCATTTTAACAGGGAAAGATGATTTTCAACGAGAGTTAAAAGAATTAGCTATATTTTATGCTTGCACTTTTTTTCAGGTCAAAAGTTTACATCCACAAAAAGGCGTTTATAAGTTTAAGTACGTTTTAATATGTTTCGACGTATTTAAAGAATGGGGGTTCTACGATGTGTTTTTTTTTTTCCATTTTTTCTCCCCAACTGCGCGTGGATGTGGAATTTATCCCCCGCGGTAAACGGGGGTTTATCTCTAGTTACTGTTGACCAATTGTTTTAGTTTTCTGCATAAAGATTTGGTTGCCAAACTGTGAAGTGTCAAATAATCTACTTTAATGTCTCACTGAGAAAAGCCTTCTATTGTGGCTGCTATATGCTAAAGTAATAGTAATGCCCCCCTGTTTGTGTTTTCAGGGGGAAAAACGACCCCCAAATGGCGCGTCTCCGTTTACTGTCGCTGAAGTACCGCTGCTAGTCAGCGTTTTTGTTTCCGCGTTCCGCCAGGACACGGTTCCCCCTCGACAAGAAAAGCGGCCCGCTCCCCTCCGTCCTTTTTCGTCCCCCGCAGCCTTGGGATGACAATTAAAGCCCACTTTCATTCATCCTCCTCACCCATGATGGCTCCGAGGGCGCCGGGAACGAGTCGCTCCAGCTCGGGAAGCCAGGCCGCTTGAGCTTCCAGTCCGGATCGAGGTTTTCTCTCTCTCTCGCTCCCGGTCGAAGATGTGCCGTTTTCCCCCCTGCTCACGGTGGCTCAGGCTGTTGAAAAGCTTAAAATGAAGGCTGCGCTGTGGTCGTTTCCTTGTGTTGCTTTAATGTCGGCTCCCCTCCCCTTTCTTTTTCCTCCTTGTCACTCTCTCCCTGGGCGCCAGCTGCCATGCCGACCACCACCCACCTCCCCCCGGGAGGCTTTTATCCACTCACATTATTATTAACATTAAAACACCCCACGAGCGGAGGACAACATTAATCGTGCTAATTATTGAAAAGACATCAAGAATGTAAATAGTGTCGCGGTATTGGGGGAGGAAAAGAGAGAGACTTGTAAGTGAAATGTAAAAAGCACGCTGACTACCGTGGGGTGTTTTTTTAAGCGAGAAAAGTGTTACACGAAAAGTTTATAAAATTCCACATTGTTTCAAGACTGTTTGTATCCGCGGCACGGTCGGTGTCTTTTGGGAGGAAAAGCTCTTTTCGTGGACTTTGCCAGCAGAGGGCAGCAAAGTGCTAGTGTCGAACGTCGTTCATTCGAATTTTTTTTTCTAGTAGCAGCACGTAGTTGTACATGGCTTTTACAGAATGAGCCTGAGACTTTTTACATGCAGTTGGATGACAAACAAGCCGCCGTCTGTGGTAGTTTGAATGTAATTATTCGGAGAAATCGATTTTATCTTGATGTTCTGTATTTGCCAAATGCCCTCATTTTATTGTCTTTTTTTAATTTGGGGATGTTTAATTTTAGACCCCCATTTAGAGAAAAATCATGATGCTGATGACAGTTAAAATCCCAAATCTTTTTTAAATCATATTTGCATTGTATTTTGTACAATTGTAGACATTTATATGTTGAATTAAACATTTGTTGACTTTTATAACCTGTCAGTATCAGGTTTCGTTTTTACCGGATATGACGTCTCGTCAAAAGTGGTCCCTCGCAGTTGATTGGAGTAGCGGCGGTGAGGGGGCGGTTCTTTAAAGTCGCGCGAGTGGAAGTCAATAATCAACCGTTCCTGCTGAAAACAGTGACGGGAAAAATTAAATAATCGCTTTACACGGCAGTTTTCGGATGTGTGCGTTACGTTTAACGATGCGTCGGCTTAAGAAAGAAGCTTTAGAACCGGTGGAAAACGTCAAACCGACGCGGAAGAGGCAGCGGACGTGTGAAAAAGACGGTAATAATAATACTAATAATGTGACAAAATATGATTAAATAACAGCACACCGGCTTATATCGCTGTTCATTGAAATGTTTTTTTCCTGCCCTAACCTGCCGTGGTATGTTACATCGTGCTGACTTTTCTCCTGCAGAAGAACCCACGGGTGCTGATTTGCCCACCCCCTACCACACATTCTGTGAGCCTGCTAATGTTGCCTATCTGCGAACTCATCTCCTCAGCTGGTACGACCTGGAGAAGAGAGAACTCCCATGGAGGACTCTGGTATGAATTTGGCAATTTTTGTAAAACACTACAGGGGGTCCCTCGTGTCATGTACTAACTACTCCCTTGTGTTACTCCAACAGGCACTAAGAGAGCCCGATGTCAACATAAGAACATATGCAGGTACGCTAAAGGTCGTCATTGCATTATGAAGCTGCCAAGACTCGCTTGAATGTATTTGTCGTTTCCTGTTCAAGTGTGGGTGTCTGAGATCATGCTGCAACAGACCCAGGTCGCCACAGTTATGGACTACTACATAAAATGGATGAAGGTACACATTTTAGTCAGTGTGTGGTTAGACAGTATTATCAGTTTGTTGATGTTGTAAAGTTGTGTGAATGTGTTCCAGCGTTGGCCCACGGTTTCGGATCTTGCGGCTGCGACACTGGAGGTGACCACTATCACCTCAGATCTCAGTTTTTAAAAAAAATACATAAAATGAATTGAGACTATTGATTTTATTCATGGGTAGGAGGTGAATCAGATGTGGGCGGGCCTTGGCTACTATTCACGGGGGAAGCGTCTCCATGAAGGTGCCAAAAAGGTGAGTCATGGGCACCTTTTGTCACATTAAGCAGCATCTTAATTATTTATATTGCTCTGCATTGGTCAAATGGTGCCATCGTAAAAAAAAAAAAAAAAAAAAAGGTCTAATGGACAACTGGTTGTGTAATGCCATTGGTGCTTTTGTATGTGCAGGTGGTGTCGGAGCTTGGGGGCCAAATGCCTGACACGGTGGACGAGCTGCTGAGACAACTACCAGGAGTGGGCCGCTACACTGCCGCAGCCATCGGCTCCATCGCGCTGGGCCAAGTCAGCCATCATAGACGCACACCTGAATGCCCTTTCATGGCAGGAAATAACAACATCGCTCATCGCCTAGGTCACAGGAGCCGTGGACGGGAACGTCATCCGCGTCCTGTGCCGTATGAGGGCCATCGGGGCCGACTGTACAAGTTCTGCAGTCACAGAGGCCCTTTGGTGAGTAAATCAACTCTGTCAAGATCTCTGGAAATTCAATCATTACAAGCAGCCTGTGTGGTTGATCACAGTGATAGTCACGTTAAATCTATTACAAAGAATGAACAAAAGAGAGATAAGATCACAGAGAGTGTTTAAATTGAAGTAGAAACAATGACATCACGTATGTACATACACACGCATGCATTCGAGCACACACTACTAAATACTACTACTACTAAATAGCATGCAAATAGTTTATTTTTGTCAAATATATAATTGTTGCACTGCTAATTCATTGTAAATTATTTTTCCATCAAAAGTATGTTTTCGTTGTTGTTGTTGCTATTTTATAGAGACTTAAAGGACTGTTCAGACTTTTGAAGTATCATTAAAGTAAAAATGTTTAGCATCAGGCCAAAAAAAATGAATGGTTCTTTCTTGTCTGTTGTCCTTCAGGGCTCTGGCGAATACGCTGGTGGACCGAAAGCGACCGGGTGACTTCAACCAGGCTATGATGGAGCTTGGGGCCCGAGTTTGCACCCCAAAACGACCCCTGTGCGAACAGTGTCCTGTACGCTCTCAGTGCCACTCTTACCGTAAGGTACAATCAAAATTACTCACACTTTGGACTGAAATAGAAGGCAGCCGGTCGCGAGAGCATGCGACGGTCCCACCAACACGCCCGGTGTTTGTAATACCCACGATTCACCAAAATCAGCCGCGAAAAGTTTGACGGTAGTTCCCCTTTAATGCCACAGATAGGGCCAAGGTGGGGCACACGCGGCACTTGAACATTCAGCGTTGGCGTGTCAACTTCGGGTCAAGTCAAGCTCGTTAGTCTGTTGGTAGAATTTCAACCGGTACCTGGAGGAAATGATGCTTGCTAATCATTTTTGTGTGTAGGTTCAAGCCAAACTAGAGCAGAATTCCAAGAGGCTGTTGGGGAAAATGGACACGAAGCCGGCCAAACTCCCAGACATTGAAGACTGCAGTAAGTCATCTTCTTTTCTTCACACGGGACTTGCCATCATTTTTTTTTTTTCTGGCATTTCTTGCTCAGGTGCCGATGGATTATGCCCACTATGTCCACGCGAGCCTTGGGATGAGGAGTTGGGGGCTCAGAACTTCCCGAGAAAGCCCGCTAAGAAGCCTCCCAGGCTGGAGCGAACCTTGACATGTGTGCTGACTCGGCGCGGAGAAAGAGGCGAGGAGGAGTTCCTGCTCATGCAAAGGCCAAATAAAGGTTGGAATTTTGTTCCTATGTGGATTATGATTCTCATTGTGCATTTTGATTGGAGTGCAATCGCCAATGTCTTTGATCCATTCCATCAATATCTATTCTATTTTCCGCACTAAAAGGCGCACCTAAAAGCCTTCCATTTTCTTAAAAGCTCACAGCGCCTTAAAATCCGATGCGCCTTGTGTATGGTCATTACGGTAATATTTCGACCTCCAAAATGTCTCCTTGCTCGGGACATGCTGACAACACAGAGTTCAAACTTAAGGCGATCGGTTACGCAGTTGAACACGGAAATAGAGCAGCGGCAAGAGAGTTCAACGTTAACGAGTCAATGTTATAACTTGCTGTGAACTGTGTCGCTGCTTTATTAAGTAAGTTTTACTGACATCTGATCATTCTGTTGGTGTTTCCTTGAGGGTAGCTTCATCTAGTGGATGCATTGTAGATTGCGTCTTATAATGCGGTGCGCCCAATGTATGAAAAAAAAAATTACAAAATAGGCCATTCATTAAAGTTGCGCCTCATAATCCGGTGCGCCTTATAGTGTGGAAAATACGGTATGTGGTCTTATATACATTTGCCCCCAAATCCATGTGGTTTTGTCAGGTTTACTGGCAGGCTTGTGGGAGTTTCCTAGTCTTTTGTTGGAAGAGGAGGAGCGGTCTGAAAAGAAACACAAGACGGCGCTGTGCACGCACCTCGGCAAACACTTGCGAGCGCCGTTGATTGATTGCTCCCTTCAGTACGTGGGAGAAGTAAGTGCTTGAAATTTAACGCTGTTTTCTCCAGGCTTGAAAGCTCCTTTGAATTTTGACCATGTGCTTGAAAGCCATCAGAATGACTCGGTGTCCAAATGAGGTGGTCTTAATTCATCCTTTAAAATGAATTCAATTCAACTAGGACCCACCACATTATTTTGCATCTCTTCATATTTCCGAAATGGAAAAAATGAATCCACTGTTGGTTTTGATTTCCCACCGCAGATGCTTCCCCTGAATTTGTTGCCCTGTCATCACAGGTGCTTCACATCTTCTCGCACATCCATCAGATCTACATGGTTTACGCTTTGCACCTGGGAGACGCCGAGGCGCCTCCACCGACAGGAGACCTGCGCTGGATCAGCAGGCCGGCGCTGCAGGAGGCCGCCGTGTCTACGGGAGTGAAAAAGGTCACAATATATATTACAGAAATCCACAGACACAGTCAACCCCCTGCATATTTGCACTTCAGCACTTGCAAATTTGCCCGTTTGCAGGTTTTTAGTTGGTGGAGAGGAAGGAGGGGCTATCCAACGAGGTCACATGAGTAGTTAGTTTGACAGTGAATTATTTTCCTTTCCCTTTTTTTCTTGAAAATCAAAGCACAAAAAAAAGAAATCAGTCGAACTGTGGCTAGTAGCTCGAAAAACTATTAAATTGCGTCAATTGTATCTTAAGACACCACTGTATTTGTACATTGTATCCTGGGAATATTTTTTTACATTAAACGATTGCCTTTATTAAAATGTACCTACCATATGTCATCTTCTGTGCAGATTGTGAAGCTTTATGAATCTGCGAGCCTTCAGAAGGAGCGGAACTCTCCAGTAAGTATTCTTCCGCTCCTGGCTTGTTGGAAGCATTTGCTTTAGCCGAGCGTGCAATTTTCAAAACTGAGACGCTGCTATGAAAAGCCACCAGAAGCTCTTGATACTGCCTGTGATGATAATAATAATTTGCACACTTGCCTCACTTTAGGATGCGACTAGGCAAAAGGACGACGATAAGAAAAGACCACGCGGCACAAAGAAAGGCAAGCTGAAGACATCCAGTAGAAGCAACAAGCAACTGTCACTCTCCTCCTTCTTCAGGACCACGAAGCAAGAACCTTGCTGAATGTTTCACATTTCTACGTTCTGTACACAACGGTGTACATGTACGCCGACCGTTTAGAAAACCTACTTGGCGATTTACTTACATATAGGCCGCTAACGTTGAGATTCCACTTGACGAATATAAACGTCCACGGGATTGAACGAGTTAGTATCCAACTTTCAATTCTGTAAATTACTCCCCACCCAACCCCGCCTCCGTCGGTTTTTTTTTCCCTAAATGACTAATTCCCATGCAAAGTTTCCAAGTTCCTAGAATTTTTTAACCCTCACGACAGGATCAAACAAATCACAGAATTTCTGTATTTGTAGATGTCTAAAACGTTTTTATTGCGATATATTATTATGTCAACAATACCAAAGGTATTACAAATGCAGCAACAGAATCAAGGCACACACATATTCAGAGGTTTACTTAATTTCTTTACATTCTCCTATGTTTTATCATGTTTTTATACAATAGTGTTATTTTTCTTTTATTAAAAAATGGACAAAGTGGTGGTGTTTTTTTTTTGGGGGGGGCTGAGACCCATTTATGAAATGTCATTTCGTTTCAGTGGGGAAAGCTGATTTGACATGAGTACATTGAGTCACGTACTCCCCAACGTAAGGGTTTTGCGAGTTATGAGGAGGATCCGACCAATGTATAATGTTGTAATGTCTAAAAAGTTTTTCCATATTTTTTTTAACTTAAGTGTTTTGCCATATGCCCTGCTTCTAACGCTGGTGAGAAGAACGAGGACAAAGAAGAAGAAGCCGATGATGTCTATCTACCGAATTACAGGTCGAAATCATTAGAAAAACATGAGCCAGGTGTGCGTGTCGTCGATTTAGAGAAGCAGTACGAGCGTCGTACTTCGAAATGTACGATACAGAAACTGAAGGAGTCGATAAAGGCTAAAAGGCCAAACAGTGTTGAAATCATTTTAAACTGCTTGAAAATGTGCCAGGTACCACTGTACTTTTTTGAAAGACTCCTCGATGTCTTGAGTTTCATCTTGCTCGTGCCGTCAGTTTTCAAACAATGAAAAGAAAAGAAACAGCGCCCTCCAGTGTACAGTTTGTGTGTCCTAACTTGACTTTTTTTTCTCGGCATGCAAAGAATGCGGACGGACGCGTGTTGGTCACGTTCCTTTCCATTGTTGCGCTCGAGTCTTTGGCGGCCGCATAATGTGCTGCTCTGCACAAGGAGGAAGAGCAACGGCCCCCAACCCGACCTGAAGTATGTAACCTCGCTCACGCGGCGGTCCGCCGGAAAATATTTCAAATGTTCAAGATTTTGATGACGTCTTTTTGGCGTATAACAAGCAGGTGATGACGTCCGCGTGGGAAACGATCTTGTCCGTCCACCAGCACATCGTCGACCATGGCGGTATGTCCGTTTCACTCTTTTTAAGGCAACAGCAAATTTGTAGATTGTTAATACAGGTTTAGTTTTTGGAAAACTTTTGCGTTCTTACTGTTCAATACTAAGCGTGTCGGGTGTATTCTCCTTTGAAACCTGCTAGACGTGTCGAGTGAATGCCGGCATTGTCTCTGTATTTTTGGTATTTCATCTCGTGTCACATTGTTTGGCCCCTCCATGTGACTAAATTTCATGTTCAAATTCTTATTTTCATTTTAAAAGCCCGGTTGGTCACCTCATTAGGTACATCGAAGTCCGATATCAGCATATCGAGCAGGCACCTTTGATCAAATTGTCCAAGACCTCTAAGTCATTAAATAAGACAGTGGTCCATGGCATTAAAGCACTACTTTTGTCTCAACAAAACTTCAACGTGCTTCCTTGGCACCAAAGTTGGTGGTGAAGCACTTTGTCGAAATGAAAATCCTCAATTGACTTCCATGTAGTTCCGCAGCACCAAAAGGGCAGCAAGGCACTACTTGTGTCTTAATCAAGGACGCCCAAGTCCGGTCTTTGAGAGCCCCTATCCAACCCGCTTGACATATTTCCCTCCTCCAAGGCACCTGATTCAAATCAGCTCATCAGCAAACGTTCCAGAAGCCCGATATCGATCTTGATCATTTGAATCAGGGGCGTCGGAGGAAAAAAACATGTAAAATAGGCTGGATGGGAGTTTCTTGAGGACCAGACTTGGGGATGACATTCAAACGTTGCCCCCACCCTTCCCCAAAAAATCGTTTTTAGGCCCGTTTTTTCCTCTCTGTTGAAAAGTTAAATATGTAAAACAGAGAAATATTCCGGCTCTTGTTCATATCTTCATTGTTATAAATGTTAAGAGACCAAAATAATTTTTTTTTTAAATTTATCACATTTTTTTAAAAATTATTAATAGGTCGATTGATCAGTTATCTGAATTTTGTACGACTGAATATCGCAATAGGCATCGGCCCCATAAATTCGTATCGGTGATAACATGAGAACTTTAGTTTTTTTTAAATTTAAATACAATGTCAAGAATTTTTTTGGGGGGGGGGGCAACATTTGTTTTGACTTCGCTTTTACTCACCTTGTAAACCTGTCATCTACCTTTATTTATTTTATCTTATTTATTTTTATACTCCAGACAAGAGAACTGACCCGTGGCCGCTGGTCTACTCGCCGATCCCGGTCACGCTCATCGTCCTGATGTACCTGGGCCTGGTCTGGGCGGGGCCTCGGCTCATGAGACACAGAGAGCCCGTCGACCTCCGGGTGGTCCTCATCTTTTACAACTTGGCCATGGTGGGCATGTCGGCCTACATGTTCCATGAGGTGCGTCAAACCCTCTTTGCTTTTTGGAATGTGTGTGAAGGTGAGCGATTGCCGCCGCAGTCTTGGTTCTTTGTCATCTGTCGGGTACATTCTTGTTGGCATGCCTCTCGTACGGGGGTCGGAAACCTATGGCTCGCGAGCCAGGTGTGGCTCTTTTGATGATTGCATCTGGCTCACAGATAAAACAAAAAATTATTTTCTCGCTTGTTTAGTCCATCCATCGATTTTTCACTGCTCATGTCCTGTTTTGGGCTGCAGTTGGCGGCGGGAGCAATTTTAATTGGATGATATTTGCCTATTTTAGCCGTTTGCTTGGTCAACAGGTAAACGCCCCCTTTTGAATCAGCCCGCTCGATCATTTGCTCAAAGCTAATCCTTCGACGAATAAAATGGCGAAAAAAAAAAGATGCATGGTCGACTTCAGGACGAATGGCCTGAAGGATTCACCTTTGTGGAGAGAACGGGTTCTGCGGTGTGTCTCATTTGCAATAACAAAATACTATACGATGAAACGGTCGAATGTAAAGCGGCACTTTGACACGCGTCATGCTACGTTCGCATCAAAATACCCTGCGGGAGACCGCAGAAAGGAAGCGCGCAAGCCACTGAGCAGGGTGCAAGCCAGCCAGCCGCAATTCCGCGTATGGATCCGGCAAGTTGACGATAATTCCGCTCGCTTTGCTGGATCCAAAAAGTCCAACTGTGAAAATTCTCGTGTGACTTGTCTCGCAGTTCTTGGCCACTTCCTGGCTGTCCAACTACAGCCTCCTGTGTCAGCCGGTGGACTACAGCAACAGGCCGCTGCCCATGAGAGTGAGAAATATTTTGGCGGAAAGCGTCTTGGAGTGTCTCCAAAACCACGTCATACGTTTCATGTATTAGTGTTCATGTGTTAATGTTATGATTGTTATCATAATGTATATATTTTTTTGTTTTGTTTTTTTCAAAGATGGCTCGGGTCTGTTGGTGGTTCTTCTTCTCCAAAGTCATCGAGCTCAGTGACACGGTATATAGATCCACTTTTCTCATAGCTTGTAAACAGGCACCGGGGCACTTGCCAGTGTGTGTGTGTGTGTGTGTGTGTGTGCGTTTGGGGGGGGGGTCATTGAGAAAGATCTTTTGTTCTCTTGTCTGTCGCGTGTCATGAAGACAATGTCCTTTCTCTGTGGTGGTGGTGGTGGTGGTGTGGGGGGGTGCAGGTCTTCTTCATCCTGAGGAAGAAGAACAGCCAGCTGACTTTCCTTCACGTCTTCCACCACGCCACCATGATCCTCAACTGGTGGTCTGCGATCAAATACACGCCGGGCGGACAGTGTAAGTCGACCTCTGCTTGCGGCAATGAAGTCAACCCAGAAAATTTGACTCTTCGTAGGGAATTTGAATGAATGTTTGTATATATGGGAAAATTTATTTTTTGCATACCTCTGATCAAAATAATCAAATTTCATGCAAGTACACCGCGGTACCTTGACTCGGACGTTTTTTTCCCGGAAGCACCCACACACTTCTATGAAGTCAGAAAGTCCTCTATTTTTGTTTTTTGGGTGGATTTTGGGTCGGGTGTTTTGGAGGGTGAGCCCTTTGACCTCTAACGGTGAAAGCAAAACAAAACATCAAATCTTGAGTGGTTTTCCTTTGGACATTCACGTCGCTTCCGTTCACCTGCTAATAGAATCACCATGTGGTGTTGCAGCTTTCTTCATCGGCCTGCTCAACACTTTTGTCCACACTGTGATGTACTCTTACTACGGCCTGGCTGCTCTGGGCCCTCACATGCAGAAGTACCTGTGGTGGAAGTCATACCTCACCTGCCTGCAGTTGGTAAGAAGGAACAGTCTTGATCCGTGTGTCTTTTTTTTTTCCCCCAAATGGTCATCTGTGGAAGTTGAGAAAAGTAGCAAGTCTATTTTGACAAACTACAGAGTAGAAGGTACAGATACAGAGCGGCAATTCTAGTTGTTCTTTGCAGAGGATTAATAATATATGCCGGGGGGGTATTGTTGTGATGATTGTATGTCTGCGGGCGATTTGCATTGTTTGATAGCTTGAAGCTAAGCGGTTGTTAGACACACAAATATGCGGATTTTCTGTGTATCTGTTTTCAAATATAGGGAGTGAAATAAAATGTCATCAGAAACATAAAAAAAAAATAATTCAGGTTGACTACAAATAACTGAAAACTCTACCGAAGTAACTATCGGCCAGAAGAGACCAAAAAACACCAATAAGTAAGTGACACGCAATGCAAAGAAATTGACGCCAGCTTTCATTCTGCCTCGCCAGCTGCAGTTTCTGCTGATTATCACGCACACGACCTACAACCTGTTCACCGAATGCGACTTCCCGCTCGCCACCAACATTTTGGTGGTGCTTTACGCCATCATCCTCGTCATCCTCTTTGGGAACTTCTATCGCCAGAGCTACCTAGACAAGAAGAAGCGGAAGTAAGACGGGTTCAGATTTGTCCAGCGCTGTTTTTTTTTGTCCACTTGAAAATGTTTACATCCAATCACACACAAGACATGTTGAACCGTGTTTGTGCGCAAGTGTGTGCATACTCGCCATTGCCACAAGAGGGCAGCGCATGCCCATATTGGATTAAAAACAACTCGGAGGTGCTGACATGTTTCATTCATATATTTATTATTTCTTGAATGGAGAAAATGGCAAACATTGTAAAGTGTGTTTTGAGCAATCTGTACATTTCTACACAGAGGGTTGGTGTGCTTTGCATTACTGGACCAAAGGAAATAAAAACCCCAAGCCCACAAAATCAAACGGAGGAATGCAAAGATTGTTTCCCACTTGTTATTCAAACAACACAGCAACACGATATGTTTGTTTCTGTGCTTCGGTCTGAAAACAGATGTCCCATGAAAGACGATGTTTTTTAAAAAAAATGAATGAGAGGAGACGTTCACACTGTCACGATATGCTAACCAAGTCCATTTTTTTCTTTCTTTTTGGTCAGTAAAAGTGATTGAGAGAATTTTGAAGGCTCGCCCCTTCTCATGAAGTTTCCAGTTTATTTATTTCTTTGGGATTGTGCACATAAATCAACACAAAAATAAACCTACTTGGCATAAATGCTAGTTTTCAGCCTAGTCCCAAGGCAGGTTTCTATAATAGCATAGTGAGACACAAAACTTTAAAACCACGATGACAGAAATAGGAACCAAATGGGTAACACCACAAACCAGGACAGACTAATTACTTACAGCAACAAACTTGCTACATCTTCATTTATGTAGCGCTTTCACAAGAAAGAAAGCGCTTTACAAAACAGTTAAAATCACATTTCGTGACACCAAGACGCCACCAGATGGCGCCAAAACAATCTATTTTAAAGAAGAAAACAAGGCCTGCTGAAGATTTTTCCTTTCCGTCACCCATCTACTTTTTGTCACTTTTTTTTTAACTCTTAATATGGGAACTTTCAGGAGGGGCGATTACTCGTGGTTTTTCAGCATTTGCGGCAGGCTGACGACACGTGGCCCGAGGCCGCGCTCAAAGCGACCAGTATGGAAGAGTGCGCCCTCCTCTGGATTGGAGTAGAATTGGCACCCCGCGCCACCTTACAGATCCTGACTCAAGTTGAAGCCTGGAAGACGCGCACACACACACAAACAAGACACAGGGAGAAAACGAGTACCCTGGGCTGAATGGAAACATCATGGGATGGCTCACCTGCGGAGCCCAGAGAGTTGCTGGCTGTCGTGGAAGCCAATTGTGCTGATGGGGAAGCGTCGATTTCAGATTTCAAATTCACCCTCACACAGCCCACAGAACTGGCTCCCGATGATGTCATCTTCCGACTGGTTTGGTATGAGCTAAACCGTTTGACACGCAACACATCATCTTGTACGGTTGGCATCCTAATCTGACCGTTGTTTCTTTTTTTAAGTCATGCAAAGAATGCGGACGTTTGTTGGTCTCGTTCCTCTGCATTGTTGCACTCTAGCGTTAGCGGGCGCCTAATGTGGAAGCGCGACGGCCCTCAATTTGAAGTTCGTTACCAATCTGGCACGGCGCGTCGTCGGAAAGTGTGTCAAATCTTCTTGTCGATTTTGATTGGGTCTTTTGGGGGTGCGTGACAGCCAGGTGATGACGTCCGCGTGGGAAACGATCGCGTCTGTCCACCGGTACATTGTAGAAACTGGAGGTAGGTATATTTCCCTCTTCCAAGCGCAACAACTAATACATCCATTGTTGATACATGTTTAGTTTTCCTAAAACTTTTACTTTCATATTGTTCAAATGCTAAGTTTGTAGTGCCCTCTTTGAAAGCTGCCAAAACCTGTCGCATGAATGTCGACGTTGTCTCTGTCTTTTCAGTATCTCATCTAGGGTTCGAATGTTTGTTTGTCCTTTGCATGGGACTACATTTAAATTAAACTCCTTGTTTTTGTTTGAAAAGGTCCATCGGTCAGCTCATTAGGTACATCGACAACCGATACCAGGATATCTAACAGGCAACTTTGATCAAATGTCAAAAACCTCTCAATCACTAAATAGAACAGCTGTCCATGGCGGCAAAGTACACCTTGTGTCTCAATGAAACACACTAAGATCCCACAGGGTGGTGGTGAAACACCGAGTTTGTCTAGAGGAAACCCCTCAACTCATTTCCACACAGTTCCTCAGCACCAAGATGTGATGACATGGCGGTAATGCACTTTGTCGAAGCGAAACGCCTCAATTTGAAATGTCGTTATCAAGTATAGTAAGGTGTTTTAGCAGAAATTTTTAGCTGAAAAAAACGACCATGTATAGTAAGGCATTTTTAGCCGGAAAAAAAAAGACCATGTGTAGTAAGGCATTTTTAACCAAAAAAAAAAACAAGCATGTATAGTAAGGCGTTTTTCGCCCCAAAAAACGACCATGTATCGTCAGGTGTTTTTAGCCCAGTCCAGGTCTCGGCCTTCATCTGCGAAGCTTGCATGTCAAGCTTTTTTGCGTGACCTGTATATGAAGACCTTTTTGGGTTGTTACTTACGAGCTCAAAAAAAGCAGCGCCACTCTGGTCAACTGGTTACTGTGTCCGCTTTCCAGCGCAGAAGTGAAGGGTTCAAATCCAGGTGTCGGCCATCATCGGCAGAGTTTGCATATCGAGCTCTTTTTTGAGCGACCAGGTATGTAAAGACCTTTTTGGGTTGTTTCTTATGAGATGGGTAGAGCAGCGCCCCCGTGGTCCACTGGTTCGGGCGTCAGCTTAACAGTGGGAAGATCCAGGGTTCAAATCCAGGTCGTGACCATTGTCTGCAGAGTTTACATATATAATAAGGCTTTTCTGATGACCATGTATCGTAAAGAGTTTTTAACCAAAAAAAAAAGTCCATTCATAAGAAGGCGTTTTTAGCTGAAAAAAACGACCATGTATAGTAAGGCGTTTTTAGCCGAAAAAAATACCATGTATATTAAGGCGTTTTTGGCCGAAAAAAAACGACCATGTATAGTAAGGCGTGTTGGACCGAAAAAAATGACCATGTATAGTAAGGCGTTTTTAGCCGAAAAAAAACGACCATGTATAGAAAGGCGTTTTTAGCCGAAAAAAACGACCATGTATAGAAAGGCATTTTTAGCCGAAAAAAACGACCATGTATAGTAAGGCGTTTTTGGCCGAAAAAAAAGACCATGTATAGTAAGGCGTTTTTGGCCAAAAAAAACGACCATGTATAGTAAGCCGTTTTTGGCCTACAAAAACGACCATCATGTATAGTCAGGCGTTTTTAGCCGAAAAAAAACGACCATCATGTATAGTAAGGCGTTTTTGGCCGAAAAAAAAGACCATGTATAGTAAGGCGTTTTTGGCCCAAAAAAACGACCATGTATGCTAAGGCGTTTTTGGCCGAAAAAAAATGACCATGTGTAAGGCGTTTTTGGCCCAAAAAAACGACCATGTAGACTAAGGCATTTTGGGCCAAAAAAAACCCGACCATGTATTGCGAGGCGTTTTGGGCTGAAAAAAAACGACCATGTATAGTAAGGCGTTTTTAGCCGAAAAAAA